TCCTAATGGCTCGACGCAATTTTGATTTTAAAAGAAGAGATGCGTGTGCCTAATGTGTGTGGCAAGAGTGGCAAAAGTCCTTTGGTAGCCTTCAGCAAATTACCCATACGCGTCTTACGAGCCACACACACACACACACACACACACACACACACACACAATCCCACTTAATAACTATAATTTTTAACGCTTGTTAGGGAGCCAGCCCGAACAAAGCCAGGAATCAAATCAGGAGTCGAGGGGACACAACAAAAGGTCCTGAATCTGAATGTCCTTGCTGTGGGGTTTCGGTGCGTGGTGCGTGGTGCTCTGTTGTGTGCTTAATGTGCATTGCGGCGGCACGGATATTCGGTCATGGATCCGATCCGCGCTGGCTTTTATATGCTTTTCTTTTCTTTTCTTTTAATTCCTTGAAAAGGTTTCGTTCTCTCTCTCTCTCTCCCCCTCCCTCTTGGTCTTTCCACAAAGGCAAACATTGAGTGGAATGAGACGAACACGAGACGAGACGAATAACTACTTGGTTCTCTTTCTCGCTTGTTTTTTTTTTGCTCTTTTAATATGAATTACAATAATAAAGAATGGAGGAAAAGCGAAAGAACGAACGCATATCAAAAGTTGAGGTAAAGCAACGGCGACGGCGACGGCGACGGCAGCGAAATAATATCATAAAAATTACAAAAGGTGGAAATGCCCGGAGATCCTTTCGCAGCACGAAATGCGTTCAAGAAAAATCACCGTAATAAAGCCAAGACGTCTGGGGGTGTTTGTATCTGTATCTGTGTGTGTGTGTGTGCGTTGCAAATAAAACAATTTGAGTGGAAATAAAAAAAAAGTAAAAAAAAAAAAACAACAACCTGTGGGGGGAAAGGGGAAGATATGAGCGCTTAACACAACGCCCGAAAAACGCCCGAATGTAACTGAAGCGCAATCCTTTGTGAAAAGAGGATACACAGCATCCTCAGACAGACAAACATTTCTGGGCAAACAATGCGTTCCGTCGTGCTGTGCTGTCCTCTGTCTCTTGGCCCGGAGTGAGGCGCAGCTTAAATTATTAATAAGTAGCATGAGAAAAACAAATGCGAATGTATGCGCAGGAGCTTCAGCTTCAGCTCCAGGAAAATGTCTGAGGAGAAGGACGGGGGCGGGATAAAGGTATTCCAAGAAGAGGTCTGAGGAGAAGCAGATAAAGGTAGTCCAGCAGGCTAAAGACAGTCCAAGGCAAAGAATCATCCTCTGAGATGGCTGAAACGGAAGCACAGCTCTCTCTATCTCTCCCCCCTGCCCCTGACCACAGACGGAGGGGTGCAATGCACGGTACAGTGCTGCTGCTGCTGCTGCTGTTGCTGTTGCCATGGGGATTGGTGTGGTGGCGACCTCATCATCGCCCTTCCCATCCGGCAAAGAGAATAGTAGAGCACACGCTGAGTGGCCTGCTGGACAGGCGGATGGCGGAAGTCCTTAAGCTCGAAGGCCTTTGAACCGAGTCCATGTCCCGTTGGACGTCAAGCGTTGTTTTTCCCGCTGTAAAACTACAAGCAAATCCATGGAATGAAACGGATTACCATGGAATCTAAATCAAATTCTTATTTGTCGGTGACGGAACTGTAAATAAAGAGGAGTTTGCTGCATCATACACTGTAAATAGGTGCAAGTAGGTAAAGCAGATTGAAAGGCGATTGAAGAGGTTGCCAAGTATTGATAGAAACATTGATTACTGTGTTATGATCAAATGAAGAGCGCAGGTGGACACGCACGAACATGATTAAAGCGCTTGGGTTCAAAGTGTTTGCAGTGCATTAAAAGAACAAATCATGAATATTGCAGATTGCAGACGAGAGTTTCAAAACAAAGACAGAAACTACGCAGCAGAATAGAGTCCCGTTCCTTTATTCATTGGTTCGTATTTGCTTTCAGCTGGGAGCGAGGCCTGAGGGCGAGATTGATTTTTGTTGCCGAGAGAGCCACAGCTGGACGGAGTATGTACGAGTATGCAATGCGTGCGAGCAGCAGCCGAGGCTCGTAAAATGACGATCGAGGTGCAGAAAACAACAAAAAAATTCACCTTGCCTGCTCTCCCATTGTTGGTGTTGTTGCTGAGAGAGCCTTAGCTGCATGGAATGGTCAATGCGAGAGGCTCGTGAATTGAAATGACAAAAACGACAAAAAAAATTCACCTTGCCTGCTCTCCCAGTTGTTTCTGTTTTTGCAGATGGAGGGATAGGTGGATGGAATGCGTGCGAGTAGGCTCGTGCGAGAGGCTCGGCTCGTAAATTGAAATGACGATCGGAAAACAACAATAAGTTTACCTTGCCTGCGCTTGCATAGCTGTTGTTCTTGCTGAAAAGTGTAAATTTACGAGTATGCAATGCGTGCGAGCAGCAGCCGAGGCTCGTGAAGTGACGATCGGGGTACAGAAAACAACAGCAACCAAAAGTTAATCTCGCCTGAGCTCGCATTGTTGTTGTTGTTTCTGCTGAGAGAAGCGATACAAGCAAAGGCTGCCAAGCAATTGCAAGAGAATTTTGTTGCGTGAGAGAATCGAGGCTAGTTGAGGCGACTGCACTGCTCTCGCAGCGAAATGCAGCAACAAAAACGCTAGAACAGGAGCATTAGAGGTGCATAATTCTCACAAAATACTTTTCCAGTACATTTTAGGTGTTTGTTTTTTACACCTGTAAAACATTTATCGACAAATTGTGGCTGTCTAAACAAAATTAAATTCTTAAATATTCCATCACCCAACACAACCCCACGAAGACTGGCTACCCCCATAAAATGTCGATTTTTTTTTTCATTGTCTTCTATATTTCCTTTGTTATTAAATATTTTTCTGCCGCCTCACCTGAGCACGGTCAATTTTTAAGCGCCGTTTTTTTTATGGCCTACGAAGACAGTGTCCCCCCCTCCCCCTATGGCAGCCGTGCCACTGCCCCATGATTTATGCCGCGCGGTCAAGTGTAAGGGGTTCTACCTTTCGGGGGCAGGAAATTGGGTTTAACAGCAGTCAGGGGGGGCTCCTTCCTGGCAGCTCGTTTAATTTCAGGCCATTTTTTGTTGTCTTCCGTTTTTATTATTAAATATACTTTTCCCACCCTCCAGCCCGGCTTCTTCTTTTTTCTCTGTTTTTTGCTGCTTTTTTATGAACTGGTTATCACTTTCCATGGCAGCAGCAGGACTCCGGCCCGTTGACTGCTTTGCGTGCTGTGATTTGCGTTAATTAGTCGCGTCGGCAGATCACGGATATTCCCCCGGACCGATGGGGGTTGGATTCACAATTGAGAGTGGGCGGTGCGGAGGGAGGGAGGCAGAGAGGCGCTTAAGCTCTCACAGTGGCAGTGGCTGTGGCAGTGGCAGTGTCATTTTTTTGTCGCCCGACATAAATCACAATTTATTGGCCGCTCATTAACCCTTCAACTGGATGGATAATAAAATTTGCGAAAAATCATTTTAATTGCCGTTCGATGAGTCGGAATTAATTGTTTGTTGAATTTGTTTGTCTCTCGCTTCTGCGGCCGCATTCCGACCTTAATTATTTGGAAATTTGTTTGCATTCTTCATTGAAATGTTGCGACAAATGCCGACGGCATTTCCGCGGTGGGCGGCAGGGGGGCGGGTTGGGTGGTTCGCAGAAAAGTTCTTTCACAGTGAGTGCAATAAGTTAACGTCTGTCAGGCCACCCACAAAGCAAAAATTGCAAACTCCGATTTCTGTGTGAAGGGAACAGAAATTTCAATTATCCCTGAATGCAGGAGGAGCATCCTTGGCACAAAGGGCCGCTGCAGGATATCATTTATTAAAACGCCCAAGTGACAAAAAGGAGCAGCAGGCGGCGACAGCAGTCGGGGGGACATTCCGTATGCCCCATATTAAAAGCGCATTTATATTGGTTAAGCCTTCTCTGCGTCCCTTTGCTGTGTTCAAGGGGGGCTCTGCGAGTAATTCTTTATTCAATTGCAAAAATAGCCCCCCTTCACGGTATTGGAGAAAGAGCTACCCTCTCAGGATGCACACACACACACACACACACACACACACACACACCCTCCCGCTAACGAGCGTCCATTATGCAAACAATAAGCACAGTTTCCTTCACAGATAACAAAACAACGGAACAGAGCACTCCCAAAAATATCCCTTGGAAAATATTGCGCATACGCCATGGCCCACACGCATCCTGCCAGCGAGTGGCTTTCATTCAAAAATAGATTTATGTCCTGGCATTTAAACAGGACTCCCAACAAAAAACGAACCAAAATCATGATATATACGTGTATGCTGTGGAATTTATCAAAAAAAAGAAACGTGACACAATCCGTAGAAATGTTTTGTACGTCCGTTGTTCCCTTTTCCATTTTTCCTTTTCGTTTTTTTTGTTTTCTTGTTGAACCCACGACCATCTTGACATCATTATTCCTTCAAGAGTGCATTTTGGTATCATTAAAATGTGATCACTTCGTATTAAAGTTGTAGTCAAATGAGGGGGAGGACGAAGGGGCTGCGAAGGGGCGGACAATTTGATTTAGTGGCACACATTATTTTACGTAAATATCTGCTGGCTTGTGCTGTGTCGCCTGCGGGGGCGGGGGCGGGTGCGGGTGCGGGTGTGGGGGCGGGGGTAAGGAGTCCATCGGTCCATGGGTCTATGTGTAGATGTTTTGAAATAATGTCAACAATGGACGGATGTGGCGAAAACCCCCCGGTTTCTCAACAGCATCCTTCTCGGTGTGTGTGTGTGTGTGTTTGTGCCCCAGTTTGTTGCTGGCAACATTTACATTTAGCATTTGTGCCCCATCACCCACGCCCCCCCCCACTTGTTGACTTTTTGCCATTTGCATGATTTTCGCATTTGTTTTCGCTTAATTTACTATTTAATAATCGAGCGAGCAAACAGAAAAAGAGTTCGAATAAAGGATCACAGGATGATAGATTTCAGAGTAAGAGTTAGGAAAGGGAAGGAAGGGAAGCGAAGGGAGGGGGGGTGTGACATGATAGAGACTTACCTTAACTCCAATATGAACCGATGCAAATTCTGTTTTGTGTAGTGAAGGAATCGGTATCGGTAATTGCATAGGAAGGGGGCAGGACATCATGGTCGCTACCTGTGTAAATAGATAAACAGAGAGAATGCACATAGAGGTTAGTGTTGTTTTTTTTTTTTTTCTTCTTCGATACGGATTATGTGTGTATATAGAATGTGTGTGTGTGTGTGTGTGTAGAGAAGTATGATAGGTTAGGTTAAGGATAGAGAATAATGTTAATAGATCAAGAGGATAAGAGGAGAAGAGCAGAAGAGTAAGAAGCAGAAGATAACATACATATAAGGAAAGAGGCATTCAAGTAACAGAATATAGCAGGCAGACAGACTTCTAACATTTTAACATTCGATTAACACCACAACCCAGTGCAGTATATACTGCATGGTAAGTGGTTTAACAGAGAATTAACATTGGCAAAGGCTTAACAGAATCGGGCCTAACAGAATCGGGCGTAACTGCTCACTGTCTCTCACTGTTAGAACACGGAAGAAAAACGAGCACAACCGATCTCTCAATCAGCCGAACTTCTTTGTTCTCTTTGGGTGTGTTCTCTTTGTTTTCGGTTGAGCCGCAATAGCAACACAAACAAAGTTGTATGCAGATGAGAGAGATAGAGAGACAAGAAGCCGAGCTTTTGACTGCGTCAGATGATCTCTCGGGCACGAACACGAAAGAGCTTTGGCTGACTGTGATCGACCGAAGTATTTGCAAAAAACAAATACAAAAACAAATAAGGAGACTAAGTCACTGCTTGAGTGATTTTCGTTCACTCTGAAGAGGGACATGCCATTGATTTTCCATCAACATTGCCCATTTGAATGCAGTGGAATAATAGAATAAGAATAAACATAGAAAAAAAACTTAATCCAGAGAGAACCCTTTAGGTTCTAGCCTACTTTAATGCTCTTTTTAGCGGACATTTTCCCTTTAATCGCACACAAATCCCTGAACAATGTATGTCCGCTCAAGCAAGCACACATTTACACTTCCACTCTCCACTCTCCACTCCCCCCACCCGTCCTTCGTTGTGGCAACATTCTTTTCTGACTTGCAACAATAAGATGGCGCCCGGGCTGATAACCAAATCAATGCAACAGCTGCTGCTGCTGCTGATGATATCCCTTCTCCTTTGTGCCCCCTCCCCTTCTCCGTTTCACACCATTTGCCATGCAACCTGCACTGACATTTGGCCCACATTTTCCCCCACTCCCCCCTTCCGCCCGTTTTACTGTTGGCATTGCAATTTTTCGCCTTTTCAATTTCACGCGTTTTAATGGCAGCCAACACAGGAATCGTTTGCCTGCACATCCTCTCCGTGCACCCGGACACGGACCCAGGCCCAGACCCAGACGCGGACCCTCTCCATACAAATCACGACCGCATTGCATTTCATTGAAGCAAAATGCCCTGCTCGTCCTGCTCGAGGGGGCTGGGGGTGGAGCATGGAGCCCAGGCGTGGCAAGGCCATCGTTTCATTTGGCGCCCATCATCATTGTCATTTCCGCTTTTGCGTAACGATGTCAACGTTTTTGATGGCTTCATTTCGTTGCGCGCTGCATTTCGTTTCGTTTCGTTTTGGGGCGCCAAATAAATCATAGCCTAGCCCCACCCACGCCCCTGCACCCGCCCTCCCTCCGCCTCTCCCTCTTCCGCTGTCTACCACTTCACTATGCCACTCTCTTCCGCTCAGTCCACTCACTGCACATCCTCTCCCCCTCTCCCCCTCTCTCACTCTCTCTCTCTCTACTATTTCTCTCTGCCTTCGCGCTTTTCCCAAGCAATAAAAACTTTTCGACTTTGTCATAATACGAGCACAAAAAAAAACACCAGAGGGCATGCTAGGTCCCCTAGAACCGACTGAAAGATACCCTGTTAAATATTTATCTTTTAAGCGGTAATAAATTTGCTTTCCTTGGGGGATTTTCCTTCTCAATCTGGATGTGTCGATGACCACAAAAATATCACTTTGAAAAGGGTTTTTTTAATTTATTTAAATTTAAGTTTATATTTGAAAAAATGTTGGTATTTAATAAATTTAATTTGATTTAAAAAAAAAAATAATTTTCATTTAAATCTTAGTTTTGGTTGCCATTAAATCAATTTCACTTTTTACCGTCTTTTAGTAAGTAGAACATTTTTTATTTTTAACAACTAAATTTTGTTTATTGTTTGTAAGGATTAGTTAAAAAAAAATTAAAATTTGTTTCTGATTTGTATTATTAAAACCTTTATTTTACTTTTAATCATATGAAAAACAAAATAAAAAAAAATATATTTTAAAATATATAAAACAAATTTAAAAAATTAAAAAATAATAACAAATTAAAAATAAAAATAATATAAAAAATAAAAACCAAATTTTTTATTTTTTTTTTAATTAATAATAAACAAGAAATTTTAAAATTTAAATTTAAAAAAGGGATTTTTTTTGTAATGCCACCATTTAATCATGCCAAAGCGAAGATCTTGAAATGGATCTCGATTTTTGTGCATAATCAGTATTCCATAGATCATCCCTATCATATTTTGTTTAAAAGATGCATAATTTTTCCAGTTTAAATCCTAGCAAAGTGGATATCCTATCCTATCTTAAAATTCAGGGATCTGTGGCACGAATACCATATCACCCTTTGATTCCACAAAATACCGAATAAAAGCAACAACAAATACAAAGTTGAATCCGAAAAATCAGCCAAGAAAGACATATAGAAAGATGGGGCAAGAAAAGGAGAGCGATAAAAAGGGAGACAGAGCGGAAAAGGTTGAAAATTAAAATGGCATGACAAAGTGGCAAATGTTGTCAAAACTTTGGCATTTTCCAGCCAAAGGACTGCATGCAACATTGTGTCGGAAGAGGGAGGAGTGCATGTCATAAAAGTAGTTGCATGCCACACAAACACACACACACACACACAGAGGCAGAGACACATAATAATATTTCAATTTCCGGCCTTGATTTCCTTCAACCAGAGAAGCCCCTTCCTCCTCCTTGGTTTCCCTTCATTCTCCGCCATTTGTTAAAAACATTTAAAAGCAAACAAATTTCCTATCGCATTACACACCCCCCCCCCCCCCCCCCCCCCACCCCTCTCTCTCTCTCACTCTGTGGGTGGTCTGTGGCACCTATTTTCCACCTGTCAATGGGGCATCGATTACCAGCCGCGAAGCATCCGTCGGGCACCTCTTAAAGAATTCATAACCAAAGTATTTATATTTCTGTCCACTCCCGTTCGGTTTCCCCGCTTCTCCCCCCCTCTTCCGCCTGTCAGATATCCATCTGTCAGTTTGTTTACGCATTTCACAGCAAATTGCTTTAAGTGCTACCAAAGTGTCATTTACATGCGGCCCAGGCCCAGGCCCAACCCCAAGCACTGGCCAAACTAATTAATAGAATACACCATTTCAGAATTATGTTCACTTTCCGCTCTCAAGTTGTTGCACGTTGCATGTTGCATGTAGCCTTTGGTATTTGCTGCTCATGTTCTAGACGTTGTCGTGTCTGTCTACGACTGACAGAGGGTATTAAAATTGTTTTTTAAAGATAGATCTAGACTAGAGAAGGGAAATAAGTACAAAAGAATTGCCATTGGGCGAACATTCTGACTAGATTTATTTCTTTCTTAATTTCGGAGTAGATTTCTTCTTTTAAATTGTGGAGAAGATTTTTCTACAATTCATTGTCTATATATCTTATCCCCTGAAGTATTCCTTAAGCTAATAGCATGTAATATTTATAATCACCTAAAATCCTCCTTTCCTCCTTTTGTAACTAAGTTCCATTATTAGCAGATGTTAATTAAATAAATTAAATATTAATTCTTCAACATTTCTGCAATCTTTATTCTGTAGTTCTTCTTCATTCAATTGTCTATATATCTTATCCCCTGAAGTATTCCTTAAGCTAATAGCATGTAATATTTATAATCACCTAAAATCCTCCTTTCCTCCTTTTGTAACTAAGTTCCATTATTAGCAGATGTTAATTAAATAAATTAAATATTAATTCTTCAACATTTCTGCAATCTTTATTCTGTAGTTCTTCTTCTCCATTTGTCCTTTTACAACACTTCTTTAACAATTCCTCCTCTTCAGTTATTTCTCTACAACTATTTTACTCCATTTCAACAACAGAAATTCTTCTAAAACAATTCTTCTTCCTATAAAATTATTCCCTACATTTATTCTTTCACTTCTCTTATGTAAAATTCCCTCCACCACAAATCTTCTATGATTCTTTTTTTTTTAAATACTGCTCTACAATTCTTCTTATAGATTCCTTTTCAAAGATTTTTCTCAATTTCTTTAACTACATTTATTTTCCAACAATTTCTCGATTTCATTTCTTCTTCTACAATTCTTCTTCTACAACTATTCTACTCCATTTCCATTTTCCATTCTACCAATAGCATTTCATGTACATTTCTTTTTCTAAAATAATGCCCCACATTTCTTCTTTTATTTTTCTTCTTCTATATTTCTTCCACCAGAAATCTTCTACTGTGATTCTTCGTCTAGGATGCCATTCTTCACATAGATTTTTCTCTTTAAAGATTCTTCTTATATAATTCTTCTCCCATAATTCTTCTTCTTCTATACTTTTTCCCTTAGATATATTTATTAAAAAAGCAGCAAATGAAGCACCCCTAAGATAAAAATATGTAAAGGCGAGAAGAAACTGTTCTACATCTATATCTAAATAAGTACCAAACATTTTTGCCATAGAATTATTTCCGATTTAGCCGGGTAAAGCCCAGGGTATTAATCAGGCTTTATACACATTTGATCATAATAATAAGTACACTTTAACATAACAGAAAACGGTTTTATTCAATATTTTAAACTTAAAATTAGTTCTCAATTATTCCTTAAATATTCGTTTTCAATAAAATAAACATTATTATATTATAGGATAATGATATAAAATAAAATAGATTCGTTTGTAGTTCAAAGTCAAAGTCAGAAAATGCACGTCCATGGGCATGTCCTTGTTTCCAACGGGTTCGGATTGATATGCACAAGGGAATCCTTGAAAAGAGAATGCTCGGGAATAGAAAAAAACAAAA